AAAGGACTGTGCGAGGGTCGGATCACCGGTTGGGCCACTTAAGGGGCGTGCAACAGTTGTGACTCGGAGATGATAATGACCAGAAGCGTGCTGGTAGTAGGTCAAAAATTGCATCATACCCCGCTGAGGGCCTGGTTGCACGGCTGCAGGGCCGCCCTGGTTGGCAATCTCGAAGTACACGCCGTAACTTGAGGATGGATCAATGCCGCACATTTTCCAGGCACAAGTGTTGCCAATTCCACACTCTGTTTCTCCGACTGAACTTGACTTTTTGTTCAGTGAAACTGCATGACCGATAAGTCCAGTGACCTTGAGCTCCTTGGTAGTCAGTACTTCAAGGGAGGCGTTGAAGCCCATCAGGAGGTTATCGTTGGCGTCCTTATCAAAGACCCGAACAAAGGACTGCTTGAACTGTGATGACGTGAAGCTGTCTGTAAGGAGCATATGACCTCCAGTGAAATTGGCCAGGTTCTTCATTTCCAGAAGACCGACTTGATCCAGGCAACCGGCAAAAACATCGACAACATGTCCGTTGTTGGCCGCGCGCTTGGCCAAGGCGTCGTAGAACTAAATTGATCAGCATGAGAGCAGCCCGTATGAATAGACAAAATGACGCCTACCTTGACAGCCTTCTTGTAGTACTTGATGTTATCCCGGTCAATGTCGTGGTGGGAACGCATTGGCTCCTTCAGCTCAGGTCCAACGACGTGACCAGGGCCTTCCGTAGCGGGACCGCTGGTGAAAACCATGATGCGCCCACCAGCGTTCTGGAAGGATGTCTCGAGCAGGCCAACAGCAACACTCAGAGCCACACCAGTGCATCTGAGGGGTCGCTTGTCATTCGCAACGGGCCAAGGATCGCGCTGCAGCTGTTCGAGTACATTGGTGATCTGGAACTCGGCTTGCTGAACGGGTAGCAGGAAACGCGCAGCGGGACCAACAGGCGGGCGAGCTGGTTGCTGAGGCATGTTTGGACGAGGACCAGCGGCGAGGAGACCGAGCATCTCCTGGACCTGCTTCGCCGCATACTCCTTGCTGCCTCTGAAAACGTACGACTTCGCACATTCGGTATATCCAAGCTCGTGAACTTGGGCCTATACTCTTGATGTTAATAGGTCATCCGAAACCAAACAAAGGTATTCGGTTCGTACCATTGTGCCATAAGTGATCAATCCGACCAGAGCATTCGGCGGCAACAAAGACAAGCTCAGAATCAGAGTATCCTTCAACGCCTTCAGACTGTCTTCCTCTTGACAAGTATCGACGACGTAGACAAAGATAGGGGGTGCGGGAGCGGGGCGCGCCAATTGGTATTCGATCGTCGTGCTCTGAGGGTGCAGTTCCGGGGGTATCGCGTTCTCAGTGATGTCCTTATAGTGAGGGGGAAGGGGATTGCGCATGAGACAGAAAGGGCAAATCCAGATCCGGGCCCGAACATCGACGTTGCTGTCCTTCGTCAGTCACGCGCTGCAAGCTCAGAGCCGACAGGGGCGTAGGTCATACGCGTAGGGGTTCAGGACAGCCCGACAGGGTGCTTTGCAAGTCACCGGCTCATATTGTAGTAATGGCGAATCGGGCTTCTCCTTCAGGGGAGTGTAAACAGCGGCAATAGGGACAACAAGTCGGGACGCTTCCTGTATGCGAATGTGAATCAGTACGGAGGCGCACGGAGGCGATACGATCTCAGTAAACCAACCATGCGAGTGCTTGGAAATGTGTTCCAGCTGAGCCTGATGCCATCACGGTCTTCGACATCGCTCCATTGATCCTTCAACGCTTCGTAGTCCATCGTGCGGTGATGGGGGGGTGGATAGGAGGGGGTTGTTTATCGAGTGAGCCCAAAACTGCGGACCAAACAAGACACTCTAAAATCACTTGGACTATATAGTGAGAACAAATTTCAGTAGCATAATCTTCTCTTCAAGTGACAGACGCCAACAGCTTTTGTCCGGGAGCTAGATGTGGATCTGGGGGTATGTTGTGTGAAGCTGGTACTGTTGGCATGAGGCCAGGTTGCAGCATCTCTGGTTGCTGCCGACAGCCGTAGCGTGCACTAGCGCGCCGCCTTCACTGCTTTAAATACTCCCAGACTGCCCGCTTCCCGCAAGCTTTTTTTCTTTTTCTTCTTCTCATTAACAACCGCCGATAACATACATTAACAGCTTCTGTCTCTTGTCATGATGAAGCTGTTTTCGCGTCGCGCGTAAGACTGACCTGACCCGACGCTGGGCACCTAGCTTTGAAAGGTCGTTCCGATCCTTTGCGATAATCTGGGAATCAGCTGTGGTTACAAATGACTTCGTACAATTTGCTCCTTTATGAGACCTAAGATATATACAGTATTAATGCGGAAATTCCTGCACAGAGTACTTTGATTGATGCTTGGCATTCTCAACAAATAATCCCGATGTTGCGTCCTGCAATTCCCATGACCAAAACGCCCAGTGAGAAAAAGAACCTGGCCACAAAGATAGAAAAGCATAGCTTCGTCAAACCGTATCCGCACCTCATGCATCCTTGGGAGGCTTCCCCATTTGTTTGAGGAGATAGCTGCGCTTGAAGTAGGTGTTCGGATGGACTATGGTGTCCAAATCTGTCTGACTCCAAGTACCGTCTTCCTTGACTCGCTTGATATCCGCTTTGTGCGCCCATTCAAAGACCCTGTTGCAAGCAATATGATAGCGCGTCTTCTCAACATCCTCACGCACGCCTCGTAGAACGTCCTTGTCATGGACGCCTGTGGACTGAAGCAGTCCGATGAGATTATCGACAGAGAAGTGACGGTAGGGGCACCCATGAGTCTGGCCAACTCCGGGGTTGGAGTCGTTGAGGATCTTCTGGCAAGAGTAAGGAGGGTATCCCCGACCTCTTCGATTCACATCACCACCGACGTCACCATAGGCGTGGCGGATATTGTATTTATACCGAGAATTAAACTCGTCGTCTGTAAAGCCTTTGAAGGACTGTCGCCAGAAAATAATACACTCTTCAAGAGATAGACCGATTCCTTTCAGGAAGAGCGTATATTGAAGTCGACCGAAGTGCTTCAAGTGGTTGTTCTTACGCAGCGTCATGTGTAGACTCCGCATGCAGAGAGGGAAGTGCTGTGAAAGGCGATCGACGTTACTGGCAGTAATGGGTGCGCCTTCAACAAACCCTTCACCTTCCGAGTATACTGATTCTGCGCTACCGAAGTTCTTCGACAGGTGATTCAGGATCGGCGTAAGACGATCGTCCTCATCCAATCGTGGGAGAGCCCGGCTCGTGAGCTTGTAGTAGTTAGCCAACTCATACCCATTCACAGTGCAGCGTGAAGGAGACACATACGTCGAGGGCGCGTTCCAATCGTGCCGTGAATTCGGCTATGATCATACTCAATTGTTCTCTGCCAGGCACATATGCTTTCCCTTTGAACAGAAGCACCGCTCTCCTTTCCACAAGCTCTGGTACTCGCTCCCAGTCCACTTTGTACCAAGTCTCCTCATCGACACGCCGCAGACCGGGTGTCGCGCTCACTAATTTCTCAGCAACCTCGCGCCTCTCCTCATCACTCACAGGTTCCCAATCCAGATTTAAGGACTCAATGAAAGCACGTTTCTCCCGCGAGTCATCTTGTTGAAACCGAAATCTGAACAGCATTGTCTCTGCCCGCACGAAGCGTCGGCGGAGGTCCTCGGTTGCTGAAAACGCCAGGCGAAGGATGAAGTGGGAATAGTGATCTTTCTGGCGTTCATTCTTTAGTCGCTGATCTGATGCACCGGAGGAAGAGGATGTATTGGAGGAAAGTGGGAGATATTTCTGCAAGACAGGAGTGATATGCGCCGCAGTCTCCGCAGCCGACTTATTTCGATAGGAACAGGCTTCGATTTCGGCCAATACTGGACAGAACTATGAGCGAATGAACGCATCATCATTAACAGAAATCGCCATTCATACCCTTGAGTCTATCGATAGCCCATTGTTCAAACTGCTCAAGTGTGATCTCCGCAGTTGGGGGAATATCATAGAAATTCAGACGGTGCGGGTAGTCTTGCTGCTTGTAAACTGGCGATGCGAACTGCTTTTTCTTGTGGTCCAAGGTCGCTCTTCTCTTTGAATCAATTTTCTGAAAATCTTGCCGAATCATTTTGAATTGCAGTCCACAATGACATCCGATCTATCTGTGCGCGAATATTCCGTTCAAATGGTAGTCTTGTAGAGATACTGTCGAGACTCCCATATCGTCCACTTTCACGAACCTCACGCGAGACGCGCCGGACACGCGTCGATCCACTTACATCACGTGACTATCTCAAATTTTGCAGCCTCAGGCCTCAATTTTGACAGCCGAGGAACGCTTGGAGCATCCGTCCAAAAAGTCCCGTAGAGTCAAATTACGGGGTTTGCCCATGTGGACTCGGCTGGTGGAGTCATTACCACTGGAAGGGTTGCTCATGCATGCGATTGGACTTGGAAGTACCAATAATGCATGCATGTGAAAGAGAGTATACTGCGGAGTACAACATCGCATGTCATCGGTCCATCGCGACTATACGCCCTCTGATATAGCTGTATCCTCCAATGTCCGGGCGTATAAGTAACATTCTGCTGCCACCAAAGACTCATCGGACTCTTCTCCGGTCTCCGCTCACCGATTTCCTAATCAAGAAGACGGAGCTAACCCCCACAGAATTCGTCCCAAGCGCTGCGATCGAGTGCCGGAGATAATTTCAAAGACTTCCGCCGATCCGGTGTTTTGATCAATAGGTCATATATGATTCCTGACAGTTACGGCCTCCTCTGTCAACCCCCGGCTCAAGCACCTTACACTTGAAATAACCTATTCGACTATGTACATCGCATGATACCTGAAGTCTCAACCTCCCTTTGTCATCAATTGATTATATCCAGCAACATTGCGACTAAGGACCAAAAACTCTGAGAAGTCGTCGGAACGTTGGGCGGCTCATAATTCCCCTTTCGAAGAGCGTTTCAGACCAGCACACGGGCGAAGGAAGGGAATGAACTCAATCACTCGGCAGCTTAAAAAGGCTGCGCGTATCATCCTCGTTGGTGCGCCTGGCGTAGGAAAGGGAACTCAGACAGAAAGGCTCCTCGCACGATATCCAGAGCTATCCTCAATCAGCTCAGGGGACCTGCTACGCGAAAATGTGCGGAAGAAGACCCCGTTAGGTAAATCAAATCATCTTATTGAGTCCTACAGGCGCATGTCTCTAACCGCGTTGGCCGCTCGAAGGTCTCAAAGCAGAGGCCGCTATGCAGGCTGGCAACCTCGTTCCCGATTCCATGATCCTCGAGCTCATCTCCTCCGAATTCAAGTCCAAGGGCTGGCTCCCAGCAACAGCGCCTCTTGCAACGGCTACATCACATCACACATCTCGTCCGACCCCCTCGTTATCCCCGTCCGCCTCATTCATCCTTGATGGGTTCCCACGAACCGCCGCTCAAGCCTCGAGCTTGGACACCATTGTCCCCGTAAATTTCGTTGTTCACCTTGTCACACCACCATCCGTTATTCTCTCGCGAATCGCTTCGCGCTGGGTCCACGAACCGTCCGGGAGAGTGTACAATACCGATTTCCACGTCCCCAAAGTCCCTGGCAAGGACGATGTGACAGGGGAGCCTCTGACGCAAAGGCAGGACGACTCAATCGATACATGGAAGCAGCGATTGCACAAGTTTGAAGAAACCAGCAAGGCTCTGCTGGAATACTATGAGCGGAAGGGCTGCCTGTGGCGTGTGGAGGGCAACTCTAGCGATGAGATTAGCCCAAAGCTCTTTGCAGAGATTGAGCGCAAGTTTTGTTGAAACTTGCCGGTTGGGCATATTGCTGTTGATTCTTAAGCGGTATCATGTGCTATTGGTTGGTAAGACACGGGCTAGACGTACAATCACTGTTTTCGTTATGAATTGGGTTATCACTTCTGCATGACTCCATATGTTTTGAACTTCATGATCAGGACTCCATGGCCTCCATCGGCTCTACTGAGCTCTTACTCAGTTGTCAGGGTTGTTTTCATTCTCGAAGGATGTTTGATTCGATGCAAACACCGGTTGCATCTACGCGACACAATATATAGTCTCCTAATTTATCAAAGCCCATCATGAAAGATATGAACACAAGGCTTTCCAAGACATCAACATCATACATGGAAGGCAAAGAATATCAACCGTAACGTCGTGACATCTGGCTATGGACACCATAATCCACCCTGGATTCAAATCCCGGTCATTACCTCATTTCTTAGTTTCAGCCCGGGGTTGCACAGCGTCCTCCAGTCCCATACGGGTCTTGTATTCTCTGGGACTCTCCCACTCTGTCCTATTGCGACGATAGTCCTTCCACAGCCCAACACCCCTCAGCTTCGCCCACCACTCTGCCTTCTTATACCTGCGCTCCATGGCTTCACCGCCAAACTCCGCGCCCCATTTCGCTTCGTATACAGTCGCGAGTCCCCGTTTCAGCATCTCGTACGACACGTCCCGACGACGAAGGGGTGGAAAGTCGAGAAACCGGCGCACGTACACACTGGCGACTGCACGCTGATACTGGTCCGGACGATGGATGTAGGCGCGGACTCGACGGTTGAGAAGATATGAGGTAAGCCATTGGTGTGCTTCGCGGGCGAACGGCTGTTCGGGACGGCCGAAATGTGCGAGCTCGGGGGCGTCGATCCCAGCTAGGCGAATGTGGACCTGAATTTCAGTATGAGACATAGTTCTCAACTCTCCTTGACCACAGACGACAACAGGTATAAAACCGAGGCCAAACGCACCGTTTTATCCCTTAGTTCCTTCTTTGAGGTCGGAACCTTCTTCCACGGCAGCCATCCCCACCCCGCAAGTCTTCCGCCAGGTGTATGATATATTCGAAAGTTATCCCCATCGCCAACACTCGTGACCTGGCCCAGCAGACTTCTGCGGCGAAAATACGACGGCGTGATGCTCACTGCGTCGGGGAACCGGCGCAGATAGCGGCGATGGATGTAGAATGCGCCCAGGAAACCGCTCGTCAGAATCAGGGTCGGGATGATCGTTCTCACTTCTGTAAAGGCAGCCCAGTCTATCGCTGTTACCGACGACTCCCAGTCCTTGCTTTTTGAGGTTTTGGGCGAGCTCGCTGTGGCTTGTCTTTCATCGTGCTCGGATGCGTGTTTCGCGGTTTGTTGCTGGGCTTGCGAGTCGGAAGCCCATGGCGGCCATCGCATGACGGCTCATAACCTCGCTCCTGCTTTTTTGGAGGTTTTGAGACTGCGCAGGATTGGCCAGATAGGACTGGCAATCCGAAGCTCGATGGCAATGGCAGAAGCGCAGTTGGTAATTAGTGTTGTTTATGGGGAAGGGTTGGGCGGTCAGACCCGAAATATATGTCCCGTTGCCTAAGGGAATATATTTTGTGGGAAGAGGACAGAGCTGGATTGACCACAGCACTTTATTTCGAACAATATCAAAATCATATCCTACCTTTAAAAAAATTTTAATGTCTGTTGCTGGTAGCACGCAATATTAACTGATTTATCTGTGGTATTTGTCTGTATATCCTATCGATATCTGACTTTATCGCGAGAGATTCCCTGACACATTTTGGCCTCTATGTAATCATCAGATTTGGATATACACCTGGTATAGTTCATGCTCTATATATTATGGCTGCCTCTTATAATATACAAGAGGATCCAAAAACCTTTTTGAGGAAAGCCCGCGAAATATACAACCCAAGCGCCTGGAAGAAGAAACAGAAAAAGAAGGTGGACGGGAAATCGTCGTCGCTGAAATCAAAGAAAATTAAACGCGACTGAGTCAGAAATTCTATTTGAGAGTCGCAGGAAGACTCGTCTTGGCCTTCGATGCAGCGGCGTCAACGGCCTTTCGAAGCTTCTCTTGCCTGATCTTGCGTAGGTATGCGAAGAGAAGAATGAACATAAGTTCCATTCTCTCCTTGGTCATCATCAGGAGACCTTGTACCAAAAGGCCCTTGGTAATTTGTGGTCCAATGCCCTTGAACAAGGAAAGAGCTCCTTCTTTCTCAATGATATAACGCATGACTTCGCCAAAGGTCTTGAAGGGCTTCCCTTCGCGACCAGGTGGGGGTCTAGACTGAAGACCAACCTTCGCAACGATCAGTGGCTGAGTTGCAATGGTGGCAAGAGACTTTGAAAGTGCACCAAGAACTGCAATAACAGTTAGACTCGAAAGGGCAACCACAGTCGAATGATTTCTGCAACTTACGGAAAGCTTCCCAAGGTTTGAGACTGTTCTTCCCTGGGAAAATTATGTCCTTCAGGCGCTGATAAGCCCCGTATGTGATCGCCGGGTTGACGACGAGAATCAGACTGGCCTTGAGGCCTCTCCACAGACCAGTCCAGCCATCCTCGCTGTTGACAACCTCCTTACCCGTCTCGATCAGGCCTTTCTTCTCCCCCCTTGGTTGTGTTTGTTGCCTTGTTGTGATGACTGCGACCGGAATAGTAAATATCTGAGCGACAGCACCCGCGACGGCACCCAGACTCAGCTCGACAGCGGTGCCAGGGGGCTTCTGCACCCGATCAGATGCCATATAGAGGGAGCGAACGACGCTGTACCAGTAGAAGTAGGCGAAATTGGTGGATGCAACACCGATCAAGGACCCAACCATTCCAGAATATAGACCCTCAATTCCCTCGCTCTCCAGAATCTTGTTGATGGCATCCAAAGTCGATTCATAGTGTATCACTCCATCCGATCCGTCCGTCTTATCGCTCTTCACCTGCACCTGCAGTCTCGTCTTGACTCTGTTTACCAAATCATTTTTCTGTTAGCTTGGTAACCTTCAGATTCTGGAACTATAAGAGAAACGTCGTACATATCTAGAGGATATACGATCGCATTCGCGAGAACAGCGCCAGTTGCACCTGCAACAGCACTTCCCCAGGGGGAAAGACGCATTGCTTTGGATTGGCCTGTCATTGTCCGCGACGAGCTAGATGGTACCCCAGTATGTGATTCTTCAAGACAGGTTAAGGGAAGGAGAGAAACAATATCAAAAGACTAGGTCTATTCAATCCGGTATTCAGTCAAAGGCTGGGCGAAGTAATAATTGGCAAAGAGAGAGAGTATTCTGGGTGGAGTGGGAAGGCGACAATTACTTGCAACACCGTTTGTCCTTCAGTATGCAGACCGAATCAAACACACTGGACGCAATCAGTCCAAGTGTAAAAAAGAAAATGCAACAAGACTATTGCAGAGAAGAAACAAATAGGTATCAACTACTCCATACTGACAGTACAGTAGTAGTATGGAAGTGCCCAGCACCTCGGTGGACTGCGCATGACGAAAAAGAGCCGAGGTATCTCTGTTGCATTGCAGTGTCCAGCGTGAGTGTCCGGTATCCGCTGTGGACTGTCTCTGCCGCCTTCACCGCCCGCCGCATTCCCGTTCCTCCCCGCCGAACCATACGCTATCTGTCCACCCTCTGGAGTGGTACTCCGTATTATTGACCTGGTGGGCTGGTACACAGCTTCATGGTGACATCCTCCGGTACTTCAACACCATCATTACTATCGACGTCATACATTCAATTGAAGGAGCAAATTAGCATTCAAACATTAGTTGGCAAGACGCAGTTTTCGTCCTCCCGGGGATCGACAAAGTCATCGCATTCTACTATTCTGATTCCACCTGTTATCAAATAACTAACCGGAACCCGCCATACAACACATCGCGGGACGGTGTTGACCTCGGATGTCACGCTCGGAGGTTTCCCTGCGACCCCTCGGATCGGTCACAAGCTGTGTCAACCGTCTTTATCACTCCGCACCCTGATAGGTGGCTTTTGTTAGCGGATCTCTGCCTAATGTCTTGCGGATGCTCGTTGCAAGCTTGACAAGCCGTGACGCGTAGTAGATCTGGCTACACCAATACAAACGCTCACCAAACGATCGTCACCCCTCGTGGGGCAGGATGTCTAGACCCCACGCCTCGTCGCAAAAGACTTTAATTGCTCATGCTCTGGTAGATAGTTTCCACGTTTTCGGCTTAACCAGCAAGCACCCCTCGACTAACCAGTGATTAGAAAGCTGAACAAGATGTATCTGCAGCTACTTCTCAGAGGCAAGCCCTGGAGGCTGCCATTGACGCCGCTGAGCATTATATGAAGGCTTTGTCTCTGGCAGCTTCCACTAACGACAAGCAGTCGCTGGATGCGAAATGCAAGGAATGGCTCTCCAGAGCAGAGAAAATCAAAGAAGCCAAGGATTGGCGATCCGCAATCCGGGTCCATGAGCGACATGCAGCGGAACTACAGACACCGGTGTCTACGCGCACGCTCACAACTCGTGAAGAAATAATCTTGCTTGAAGGGGCCAAGCTGAATGGATTTATCTTTCCGCCATGGGCAGGGCCTCCGAGTCTAGAAGAATTTGAACCTAGTGAGGGAGGGCTATTGTTCATGTACGTTCATGCGGTGTTTACTACATGTATTGTCTAAGTGACTGCTAACACAACCTAGTGATAAGCCTGAGCTCCATCTTTCTGACAAACAGAAAGTCATATTTGATGGGTGGAAGCGGCCTTCAGGGCTGTTGGCGCAAGCCGGCGGGGATACGTTCGTGATGTCCGTATCAGAGAAGACTGATCTAGTGCAAGACGTCCTGACAGACTGCTCTGTTGTCGCCAGTCTTTGTGCTACAACCTCCCGATCGGAACGTGGCCTCGACAAGGTAATCCACTCCGACTGCTAAGGATTGTGTGAAACTCTGACATGAAAGCAGCGCTGTCTACCTGTGATATATCCCTGCGAGTATGACACAGGTCACCCCAAGCCTTCGCCT